AGGCAAGAATGGCTCGGCGGCGGCGGGTTGAGCGCGGGGAACAGCGCCGGCGCCGGCACCGCCGTCCTCGTCGCCCCCGCCGCTCCATCTCCGTCTGCGTGCTCCCGACGCCAGAAGCAGAGAGGCCTCGGCTCGGCAGCGCGCCCCACGCGCTCGGCCAGCGCGAGGACGGTGCCTGGCGGCGCGTTGCACCCGCGGCGGCGCGCCAAGGTCCACTGGGGCGGCACCGCATCGGAAGGTGCGCGCGGGGACGGCACGTGGTGGACGGGCGCCGCCGTTAGCGTCGGCGGCCACCTCGCGCTGGGCCGCTGCCCGCCAGGAGGAAGACCAGCTCCAGCAGGGCGGCGAAGAGGAAGGCGGGCGCCGTCGCGCACCTCAGCTCCACAAGCGTGCCGAGGCTGACCTCCGCGTCGGCCCAGCCGTGCAGGCCTCTGCAGGCGATGCCTAGCACCTCGCTGGATGCTGTTGAGATCCTTGTGGATCACCGTGGCGGCGGTGCTGAAAACGTGCGCCGCCGTGTTGCGCCGTTGCTTACCCAGCGTGAGCACGCAAGGAACGAGCGCGTTCCCCTGCTCCGCGGCCAGGCCCGCCGCGAGGCGAGGCGTTTCGACGGCCAGCCGCCCGAGCACTTCGTCCCTCAGCTTGTCGTTTACCTTCCCCGTCGCGTCCGTGCCCACCATGGCCACAAACTGCTGGGCCGCCGCCTCGTGCACTTCCCGAGTCTTCCTGAGTTCCACCTGGAGCTCCGCGACTCTGGACTCGAGCGCCTTCACGCGCTCGAAGGCGGCTGATTGGCGGTCAGCAGCCGCCAGGCGTGCGACCGCCTGCGCGGCGCGCCGCGCAGGCCACAGCGACCCGCCGCCGTTGCAAGGCTGCTCCGCCGCCTCGGGGGCGGCAACGCAACCGACCGCAGCCATTTCCCAAGCGAGTCTCAACGGCATTGCGCGGGGCGGACGCGGCCCACACAGTGTGAGAACAGCTCGAGGAGGAGGAGGGAGGAGGCGGGGGAGGCGGAAGAGGGAAAGGAGGAGGAGGAAGAGGAAAAGGAGAAGGAGGAGGAAGAGGAAGAGGAGGAAAAAGAGACAGAGGCAGAGGAGGAGGATGATAACGAGAAGGAAGCGGTGCAGAGGAGGAGGAGGAGGAGGAGGAGGAGGAGGAGGAGAGGGAGGACGACGAGGAAGACAAGGACGATGATGATGATGATGATGATGAGGAGGAGGAAGAAAAGGAGGACGTCGACGATGCCGGACTCTCCGCTTATGCACACTGCGCGTGGCAGCGTCGGCCAAAAAATGCCACACATGGCTTTCGGCGGACGGGGAAAAACGTCAAAACAACATCTACCCGTATGCAACAGCTGCGCGCTCCCGCTGCTCAAAGACAACACGCCTTCAAACTCAGCAACAACTAGTACACGAATCAACCAGCAGGCCACCAAAGGACACGCATCCTCTGTAAAACGCGCAACAAAGATAATAGCCAATCGCAAGCAAAAGCGCTTGCACCCACGAGCCCATGACCGCGATCGCACACGATGTGCACGAAACGGACTAATTCACGCTGCCCAACAACGCACGCACCACATGGCAAGAGGGACGCCGATGCAAACGAACGAACTAATCATAGTACGAATACGATTACGAATGCGTGTAGTAATAATCTGAATTGCCATAGTATGCTCGTAAATTATATATAACAGGGCAACGCGTAGCCCCAACACGTTCGAACCGCGTCCGCATCAATAAACGACGCGCCTTCTTAGCCGCGCCGCCAACATAAACCACCCGAGGGGCGCAACTTTTTCGGGCGACCGTTCACCCCCGCGCGCGCCACGGCGGGGACCGTGACGATGGGAAGGATGCGTGAAGATCAGGCAACGAGCACCTCGGCGCACCGCGCGTTCTGAAATTTTCGAGCTGGCGGGCGCAAGCGCTCTGAGATAACGACGCCGACGCCCTCTTTCGCTGTGCGGCCCCAGTAATAGAAACAAACGGTAAAACCTCCAGGGCAAACGATTCGAAAGATAGTTTCGCAAGCTTACGCGCCCCCGCAATAGCTGGGGGGCACGGCAGGCAGACGGAGGGCGGACAGTCCCGGGTTGCCTGGAAGCCGGGGGGGGGGGGGCACGGGCTGGGGGAAACAATTCCCAACTGGGCAGGCAAAAGCTGCCTGACTTACGAATGGCGGGCCATCTCGGACTGTCTGGGAAGGACCCCGCGGTCTGACAACAACTCGATGCCGCAGAGGCGGACAATTCGAGGCCGCGGGGGTGCCTGCGGCCAGCCCTGCGTGGAAAACAGAAATTTGGATCCACAACCCAAGGCGGGGAGAAAAAAATCCGAAACGAGCAGGCGAAACCAGCCTCTTCGCAACTTCGAATACATCGCCGATGCTGTGCGCTTCTGGACGTAAGCGATCGGACCACCCCGAAGCCTTCTCCTGCTCCGCTTCCTCCTTTTCCGTTTCCATTTTCTTTCTCCATCCTGCAGCTGCGAGAATACAACGCCGACGCGGTGCATCCGTGGACACGCGCGTTCGGAAACGCACGCGGGGGGCGGGGGTGCGATTAAAAACCATGTGTTCGTCGCCGCGGTTCCTGCGATAATGCGCGCGCTGCGTCTGCTGCGCCCCGTCTCTTCGACAGCGCCTCTCCTTACCTACCCCCATCCCTCGTCTCTCCGCAATCCCCCCCGCCGCTGCGGGTTCTTGAGCAAATCACTTCCCGCGCGACGGCAGAAAAATGCTGCTGGAGGGGCGGACGATTAAAACATAACTTTCAAGCGGTTGAATTATATCAGTCTGCCCCGCTCATTGATTTTGCCCCCCCCCCCCGGGGGGCGGAAGGGGCCTTTGTTTTGCTTTTCGTTTGCCCCGGTTACGCCTCCGTGGAGCGCCACCCCCGCGCGAAACACGCCCACCCCCATCAACCCCCACGCGCGCCAGGGCTCGGGATCCTGGCCGTGAGAGAGACGGGTGGGACAACACGGGCGACGAGTTGCAAGAGTCTCTCGCCCGCCCGCCCCTGCCGACATCGCGGTTGCCCACCACACTCGGGACGGCACGGACAAGGAGCCGATCGGGCTGCAACCCGCTTGTTTACCTGGGAAACGGACCCAATGGCGCGGGTGCCAGTAGCAGGAGGAGAAGGAGGAGGAATATGATGATGATGATGCTGCTGATGATGATGATGATGGTGATGATGATGCTGATTCTGAAGATGATGATGATGATGATGATGATGATGATGATGATGATGATGATGATGATGTTGATGTTGATGTTGTTGTTGTTGATGATGATGATGATGATGATGGTGATGATAATGACGATGAGGAGGAGGAGGAGGAGAAGCGGCAGCGGTCAACTGCAAAACGCGCATCGGCGGATGCTGTCGGTGTGAGCATAGCAGAAGGGCTTCTCGTGAGCCGCGCACATTGCGAAGAGGCCGTTCTGAAACACCACGTCGTGCAAGCCGGCGGCCTGGGGGCACTTCTCCCTCACCCGGTCGTCGAAAGGCTCCACCCAGTTGCAGTGCATGGACCTGCCGTACAACTCTGGGCCGTGGGGGCAGGGCCGATCGTAGTACAGCGGGTCCCTCGCGCGCATGTCGCTGTGGATGCCGTCGCACTGCAGCCCCCTGGTTCGTCAACTGCCAGCGCTTTGTCACCGGGATGTCGCCCACTCCTTCCAAGAAAGCCTTCTCGTCTTATACTGATTGGAGTCGATCTCGCCGCGAACCTTTCTCTGAGCGATTTCAGTGTACGTGATGGGAATGCCCGTATGCAAGTCGGTGCTCAAGTTCTTGGCCGTCGTCGCGGCCATCATGGCATCATCGACGCAGGTCGGTCGAGTGGAGTGTGTCGATCGCTTTGAGCAGGACATTATTTTTGCTAGACCCTGACATAAAATTCCAGCCAATCCCAATCACAACAGAGTCACCCTCCTTCGACTCGACTCCGAGAACCTTCATCTCCCTCTGAATCTCTCGAGGAGGAATCTCCGAATCAAGCCAAGCATCCCAGAAGATGAAAGACCCGATGCCCCTCTCATTGCAACCGCTGGACAGGGCGCCGTCGGGGGTCTGGTCGGCGTGCGAGTGGAAACGGCCATTGCCGGTTTTCACGCGCCTGCCTGCCCTGATCGACGCAAGCAGCTCTTGCTGGTCCCGGGAGTTGCGCCACCAGATTTCAGGGCAGCCGTTGAGGCGGTGGAGCGCCTTGCGGAGCGCCGTCATCTGGGAGTCGCCAGCGAAGATGTGTGTTTCGTGCGGCTCTGGCGGGCCTCCTGCATGCAGTTCGACTTGAGCATGGCCTCCTGGGGGCCGTTCATCTGCAGGGCGTCGTCTGCGAACCCGAGCTCCTCGAGCTTGTCGAGGTACGTGCCCACGTTCCACTTGGCCAGCTGCATCATCTTGAACACGGGGATCGGGAAGCCCTTCGCCCCGAGGTCCAGGCAGTACGACTCGGGAAAGACGCCCTTCGCGAAATCCTCCACCTCGGAAGCCCCTTCGTGGATGCCGAGCTCCTCGGGCGTCCGGCGCGTGCCGGCCCTGTGGTGCGCCCACCTGGTGCGCGACGTGCCCGGAGCGGTTGGCGCCGTCGTGGCGGCGGCCCCCTCCCCGAGGCCCGCGCCCATGCCCTGCGACAGCCTGTCGACCACCGTGGACAGGGCGAGAAATGACCAGAAGTGACCATGAAAGGACGACGTCCGCTGAAAACAAAACGAATTGGGCACCGTAGGCAGGGCAGAAGCAACGGCAACCAGGGAGGCCGCCACCACTGCGGTGCAGGGAGGCCGCCATCGCTGCGGCGCGCGCCCCCCGGGCGGAGACGGAAGCGTGCGGTGAGCCTCGAAGGACCTGAGCCAGAGCGCTGGAGCCGAAATGGTTACGGAGGAGGAGGAGGAGGAGGAGGAGGACGAGGAGGAGGAGGTGGAGGAGGAAGAGGCATCCAGACGGAGTGAGGACACGCCACGCGCCCTCGGCAGAGCTGCTGCGCGGGTCAGGCCCTGTGGGTCGCGCCAGAAACGGGCCCGCAAGGACGCCCTGGGCGCGTCAGTGCGAGCCGCCTCCGAAGGACGCCGCCTCGCGGTCGCGCGCTCGCGCGCCCTGCTCGTCGCCGTCCCCACACTCGTCGTCCTCATCGTCGGCGCCGTCCCCCTTGCCTGCGTCCTTCTCATCGTCCGACTCCTTTTCATCGTCCCTCTCCTCCCCCTCCTCGTCCTCCCCGTCCCTCTTCCCGCCGCCTCCTCTCGGTCCTCCCCAGGCGGCTCGAGAGGGGTGCCGCGGACACCTCTTTGGCTGCCCCCACAAAACCACGCTTAAAGGGCCCCCCCTCAGCAAAAACACTCTCGAATGGGGGTCATGGGGGGGAAACCCACTACCTCCCCGAACCATCCCAAAAACCCACATAGAGAGGAGGTTCCCGGGGGGAAACACATCACCCCCCCTGACCCTTCCAAAACCCCCCATTGAGCCCTGAGGGGGGCTTCCTGTGGGGAAAACCACTAAGCCCCCCGACCCCCCTCGACAAAGAACCCTTGAGAGGGAAAACTCAACAACTCTCCCTAACCCCACTCGAAAAAACCTCCCTTCAGGGGCAGGTCCTGAAGGGAAAACCAACCACCCTCCCTGACCATTAAAAAAACCTACCTTTAGGGGGGGTCCTGGAAGAAAACCCACCAACACCCCCCAACACCCTCAAACAAACATCCTTGACAGGGGGAAGGGCTCCGACGGGGGAACACCCCCCCCAGCAAAAAAAACACCCTTGAGGGGGGGGTCCTGGAGGGGGGGGGGGACCCACCAACCCCTTGAACCATAAAAAAAACCTGCCTTGAAGGGGGGACCCTGGGGGGGGCAACCCACCACCACCCCTAACTCACCCAAGAACCACCATTGAAGGGGGGGTCACGTTAGGGACCCCCCCTCTCTAACCACATGAAAAGCCACCCTTGAGGGAGGGTGGGGGGCCTGGGGGCAACACCCCCCCCCAAAAAAAACCTCCTTCTGGGGGGGAAAGATTATCCAAGGAGGGGTCTGGGACCTGCCACGCCCTACTGGTAGTGGCAGTGGAACGTGCGAACTCAGGTGTCAGGAGGAAGAGGAAGAGGAGGAGGAATAGGAGGAGGAGGAGGAGGAGGAGAAGGACAAGTGCAAACCCAAGAGTCATCAACGATGCTGGAATAGACCCTCCCTCCAGGCGCCCTCTTCATAGGCCCCTACAAGGGTTCATGTCCACTGGGGGAGCTGTTTCGTTGGAAGACAGCTGTTTGAAGATCCCGACGCATGCCAAAACATCGCCCTCGGGATTCCAACGCCACGGATCAACGTGACTGTTGCGTCTTGACGACCCTGACTTGTGCTAGAACGCCATTCTCGGGACTTCAACACCGCGAATAAACGAAACTGCTGCGTCCTCAGAACCCTGAATCCTTCCAAAACACCATTTCTGGTACGCTGATCATGGGAACCCGTGAAAATCATACAATGCTTTAAAACGAAAGTGCGCGGCGCTAAAGCGATAACGACATTTTGAAAACGAACCGCCCTCAAGCCGTGAAACCCTTGCAAATATCTAAAGACGAATGTGCGTGGCGCTAAAGCAAGAACCACATTATGAAAACCAGCCGCCCTCAATCCGTGAAACTCTTGCAAGTCTTTACAATGAATGTGCGCGGCGCTAAGGCGAGAACCACATTTTGAAAACGACCCGCCCCGAATCCGTGAAGCCCTTGCACATGTCTAAAACGAACGTGCGCGGCGCTAAGGCGAGAGCCACATGTTGAAAACCACTCGCCCTCCGTCCGCGAAGCTGTTGCCAATGTTTAAGCTTCAGGGCCAAGAATGGTGAGGAGGCACCAGGCGAAACGCCCGGACCGCCCTAACACCTGGCCTCGGGGTGCGACAGGGATAACTTATTATAAGGAAAATGAATGGAGGAGATGAGGCGCGAGACCCGCAAGACGTGTCCTGTTCCGCCCCCCACGCCCCCCCCCCGCCACCCTCACCCACGCCCACACCCACACCCACACACCCACACACCCACACACCCAGACACCCAGACACCCAGACACCCAAACACCCACGCACCCACACACCCACACACCCACACACCCACACACCCACCACACCCACACACCCACACACACGCACACCCACACCCACACCCACACCCAAAGCACACACACACACACACACACACACACACACACACACACACACACACACACACACACACACACACACACACACACACACACACACACACACACACACTTTCACCATATTCCTGGTCCTCCTCCTTCTCCTCCTCCTGCGCCTGCTCCTCCTTCTCCTCTTCCTCCTCCTCCTCCTCCTCGTCCTCCGCCTCGCCCCTGGCCTCGTCGTCGTCTCCTCCTCCCCCTCCTCATCCTCCTCCTCCTCCTCCCCCCCTCCTCCTCCCCCTTCTTTTCTCCTCCTCCTCTCCTTCTTTTACTTCTTTTCCTCCTCCTCCTTCTCCTCCTCCTCCTGCTCCTGCTCCTCCTCCTCCTCCTCCTCCTCCTCCTCCTCCACCTCCACCTCCTCCTCCTCCTCCTCCTCCTCCTCCTCCTCCTCCTCCTCCTCCTCCTCCTCCGTCTCCTCCTCCTCTTCGTCTTCCTCCTCCTCAGCCATTTCGCGTCCGAGCGCCCCCCCCCTGCACGGGGCGCGCAAGGGTGTTTCGCGGGCAAACTTCGAAATGGCCCTGCTCGCGAGAGCCGACATCGAGAGGCGTGGCGCCCCACGTCATCGGCCACAATGCTGAGATCAGGCGCGAGCGCACCCGCCAGGAGACTGGGCTCCCTCCGCCCTCCCTTCGTCCTCTTGCTCCTCCTCCCCCTTCCCCTCGTCAGTTTGGCGAACTGCAGCGCCGGCCATCCGAGCGCCGCGGCGGAAGTGCAGGCAAAACATAGGCATGATCAGCTACAGTGCAGGGATCAGGCCGTGCGAGAAGGCAAGCAGTGGCAGTTGGCGCTGGCGCTGCGAAGCAAGTGCGGGTGGGCCACGATCAGCAGGACCGCTGGGGGCAGCCCGTGAGAGAAAGGGGCAAGCAGTGGCAGCCGACGCTGGCGCTGCGAGAAAAATGCGGGTGGGCCACGATCAGCAACAACGCTGGGAGCAGCCCGTGCGAGCAAGAAGGCAGGCAATGGCAGCAGGCGCTGGCACTGCGTCCAGGTGAAGGACGAGCCCGATGCCGTCAGCTACATCCGACGCGACGTTGGAAGCCGGCGGTCAGGAGGGAGGCCGATCAAGGACGAGCCCGTTGCCATCAGCCACAGCGTTGGGATCGGGGCAAGGTGAAGACATGTGAGAAAGGCGAGCAGTGCACGAGTAACGTCAGCAGCTGCAAAGTTGGGATCAGCTCGGGTGCAAAGGCAGGCAGCGGCAGCAGGAGCTGGCAATGCGAGAAGGGCATGCAGCGGCAGCAGGATCTGGCATTGCGAGCAAATGTCAAGTGCATGAGCGGACATCTTCAATTACAGCGCTGGGATCAGCTCGTGTGCGAACGCTCAGAAGGGGCAAGCGGAAAGCAGGGGCGACGCATCATCAGCTACACTGCTGGGGTTCGCTCATGCGCGAAATGGCTGAGGGTTGAAGCTGGAGCCAAATGCTATCTAGCTAAGCTGCTCGGCACTGCGCGTGCGAGAAATGCTGGGGCAAATAATCGAGGCAGTGGATCGGTGCGCCTCGATGGCTTCGGCGCGAAAGGGCAGAGGGGAGCTCTGTGGTCAGCCTCTTGCGAGAAGCGGGGGGTGAAGCGAGAGCCCAATTTCGTCGAGCGCCCCAGGACGTTTTGCGAGAAGCGGGGGGCAAAGCTGGAGCCCAAATACATCAACTACAACGCTGGGAACAATCCGTGCGAGAAAGGGGGCGCGCAGTTCCGAGAAGTGGGAGGTGAAGATAGAGCCCTATGGCATCTAGCTAACCTGACTGGCACTGCGCGTGCGAAAAGTGCTGGGGCAACCAATCGAGGCAGTGGATCGGTGCACCTCGATGGCTTCGGCGCGAAATGGCAGGGGGGAGCTCTGTGGTCAGCCTCATGCGAGAAGCGGGGGTGAAGCTAGAGCCAAATTTCGGTGTTCGTGGGGCCGTGGGAGGTTCTCAGCTACAGTGCAGGGATCGGGCCGTGCGAGAACCAAAGAAGTGGAAGCAGGCGCTGTTGCCGCAGGGGGTCGGACGGCCGATGCGCCTGGCAGGCTCGCGGGGGCGACTCCACGGGGCGTCACTCGCCGTTAGACCCGCTCTAATCGGCTCTAATCCTCCTCCTCCTCCTCCTCCTCCTCCTCTTCCTCCTCCTCCTCCTCCTCCTCTTCCTCCTCCTCGCACCGACCCAACCTCCTACCTCCTACCCCCCTCCCCTCCTCAGCGTCCTGCGTCCTGCCCCTCCTCCTCCTCCAGAGGCCAAAATGTGCAGATACCCTTCCTCCCCAAACCACTTCCGACGTGCGTTCTGACAATAGTGCCGAAGAGAATCCGTCCGTGGCAACAAGGGCTTTCCAGGACGAGCAGAGGCATCGGGATTTTCCCCTCCTCCTCCTCCTCAATATACGCCTCCCCCTCCTCCTCCTCCCCCCCTCAAGAAGCAACGCCATAAACATAAACTGTTGGCGCTCCGCGCGGATTTCCTGGATCTGCGCTAGACCCCCCTCCCTGGCGCGCGGAGCGCGCCAAGGACGGCACCGGAGGCGCCGCCAGGGGGGCACAACGCAGATCCAAGAAATCCGCGCGGAGCGCCAAACGTTTTCGTTTATGGCGTTTATCTTCTTCGACTCTTGGAAGCCGCCCCCCGCCGTGCCTGCGGAGAACGGTTCAGAAAGCGTACCAGCAGGCCAGCGGCCTTGTGAGCCTTTTGAAAGGGGCTTGCTTTAGGTCGGGCATGTCCCCCTACAGACGGATTTCGGACGAACAGAAATGATAATTATTCACTGCGTGGAGCTCCCCATATGTGCATCTATTCGCATGGACCTGTCCGACGTGAGTGCCTAGGCGCAAGAGCTTCCGAATATAAAAGGGCTTCAGTTGTGACGGTCTGGTCATGAATCGAACTGCGAGTGAGTTGGAGTGTGAATGAGCCTCAGTAATACGAGCGCGTCTCTGCGCATGAGCCTGGGGCCTCCTGGGGCCTCCTGAAACCTACTGGGGCTTCCTGGGGCCTCCAGGACCTCCTAGGGAGGATTCGTGCCCCAGGAGAGGCCCAATCCATAGCAACAGACGTACATAAAATATTGCGGATTGGAGCCACAGAAGAAGGGCAATATATAGGAACACACGTAAAGCACCAAGGACTCGTGCACCAGGAGAGGCACAATATATAGGAACAGCAATAAAACATTTAGGATTGTGTACACAGGAGAAGGACAATCTATAGAAACATACGTATAACATCAAGGATTCGTGCTCCAGGTGAGGCCCAACACATGGAATTGGAACCACTCCTGTTGCCGTCTGAGGCCTCCTGCTCCTGGGGCCTCGCGGGGCCTCCTGTTGCCTTCCGAGGCCTCCTGGCGCTTCCTGTGGCCTCCTGGGGCCTCCCGTGGCTTCCTGAGGTCTCCTGAAGCTTCCTGGGGCCTCCTGGAGCCTCTTGGGACATCCTGTGGCCTCTCGAATCTTCTTGTTGCCTCCTGATGCCTCCTGTGACCTCCTGTGGTCTCCTGGGGCCTCCTGGAGCCTGTCGGAACCTCCTGTGGCATCCTGAGGAGAATATGTGCCCACGAGTCTGGCCACCAAAACAAACAAATCGATAGAGAAATCCTCAAAATCTGGCCCACCTGGGGAGTGAATATGAGCGCCTCGCTCGAGACATCCTCCAAATCTGCTCCGAAAGCGAAGGATGTTGGGGCAGAAAACAAGCAAACCGCTTGAGACATCCCCACACAACGGCCGCGAACCGTGCAACACCCACCGGCGGTTCCCCTCTGAGGGGGTGAAAATGAGCGCCTCGCTCGATACATCCTCCAAATCTGCTCCGAAAGCGACAGATGCTGGGAAAGAAAACAGGCAAACCGCGTGAGACATTTCCACAACACCGCCGCGAACGGGACCGTGCAACACCCCTCGGCGGCTCCCCATGAGGGGCGTGAAACTGAGCGCCTCGTTCGACACATCCTCCAAATCTATCCCGAAAGCGACGGATGTTGGGACAAGAAACAAGCAAACCGCTTGAGACATCCCCACACAAGCCGCGAACGGGACCGTGCAACACCCCTCCGCGGCTCCCCTTTGGGGAGGAAAATGAGCGCCTCGCTCGAGACATCCTCCAAATTTGTTCTGAAAGCGAAGGATGTTGGAACAGAAAATAAGCAAACCGCTTGAGACATCCCCACGACACGGCCGCAAACGGGACTGTGCAATACCCTCGGCGGCTCCCCTCAGGGGTGCTGAAACGAGCGCCCCGCCCGAGACATCCTCACAATCTGCTGTGTGTTGAGTAAGTCAGACGATGAGAAGGTCTGAGTATGAGAAAGTCTGGGTATGAGTGCGTCTCAGCACGCGTAAGTCTGAGTATGAGTAGGTTTGAGTATGAGTAGGTATGAGTATGACTAAGTTGCTATGATCAGGTATGATCATGAGTAAGTTTGTGTATGAGTAAGTTTGTGTATGAGTAAGTCTACGTATGAGGAAGAGGAGGAGGAGGAGGAGGAGGAGGAGGAGGAGGAGGAGGGAGGAGGAGGAATACGATGCGCCCGAGTAGTAACAACAACCCCATCTTAGGATATGGGGAAAACATACCCCAAAAAAGTCAAACATACCATAAAATAATCCCCAAACTATGTGTTCACTATTTTTGAATACTTCTCCTGCAGAGGGACAAGGCCAGCGGCCTTGTGAGTCTTTTGAAATGGGTTTGTTGCCTTTTGACTTCTCCCGTCGGCGCGCCGCCGACTACCGGGTGGGAAGGGGGGCGAACAAGCAACAGGAGTACGACAAACGTCCAGATTTAGCCGAAACCTGGAGGATGAGGCCATGGTCTTTGGATTTGGCTACCTGTTGGAAGCTGTTTTTTGTTCCCAACCATCCTGTGGTGTTGGGTCCTCGTTTTGAAGAGACGGTGCCGCGCGTCTCCTCACCTCTCCTCTCCTCTCCCCCGCCTCCTCCTCCTCATCCCCCTCCTCTTCCTTTTCCTCCTCCTTCTCCTCCACCTCCCCTGGCAATTTGGGCACACCCCTCACGAGGATCGTGGCCCCATAGGGAGTTTCACCGAAGGCGCCAGTGGCAGGGTTCGCATGGCGGCCTCGGGCGATTTCGGCACACCCCTCACGAAGATCGCGGCCCCGTAGAGAGCTCCACCGAAGGCCCCCAGTGACTGGGTTCGCATGGTGACCTCGGGCAATTTCGGCACACCCCTCACGAAAATCGTGGCCCCACGGGGAGCTCCACCGAAGTTCCCAGCGGCAGGGTTCGCATGCATGGCGGCCTCGGGCCATTCCGGCACACCCCTCACGAGGATCGTGGCCCCATGGGGGGCTCCACCGAAGGCCCCCAGTGGCATGGTTCGCGCGGCGGCCTCAGGCCACTTCGGCCCACCACTCACAACGATCGTGGCCCCAGAGGGAGTTCCGCCGAAGGCCCCCCGTGGCAGGGTTCGCATGGCGTCCGCGGGCCATCTCGGCGCACCGCCCACGAGGATCGTGGCCCCATAAGGAGCTCCGCCGAAGGCGCCAGTGGCAGGGTTCGCATGGCGTCCTCGGGCCATTTCGGCGCACGGCCCCGCGAGGATCGTGGCCCCGTAGGGAGCCCCGCCGAAAGCGGCACGGTTCGCGCGGCGACTTCGGGCCATTTCGGCACACCCCTCACGAGGATCGCGGCCACGTAGGGAGCCTCGCCGAAGGCGCCAGCCAGGGTTCGCGTGGCGGCCCCGGGCCATTTCGGCACACCCCTCACGGGGATCGCGGCCCCACTCGAGCTCCACCGAAGGCCCCCAATGGCAGGGTTCGCGTGGCGGCCCCGGGCCATTGCGGCACACCCCTCCCGAGGATCGTGGCCCCATAGTTGTGCTGCTTCATCAACCGCGCCTGGGCGTCGTATTCCGCCTTGTCGACGTGCAATGAAACCTCCTCCCTCATGGCTCTCAAAGCCCTCTCCTGCTTCTGCTCCTCGGTCAGATGGACGCCGTGGCGCCCGCGAAGACGGCCACGAACGTGTTCCTGAGCATGTCGGGCTCTGGCGGGACGCCGTGGCCACATGGGGAGCGCGGGCGAAAATGGTATTCATAATCGCGGTATTCACAACTGCATATGGTTGGGTCCTTCGCCAGGCTAATTTTTGAATCGGCGACAACCCGGGTTATCCGGTGGGAGGAAGGGGCGGCCGGCAGCCCTGCATATGCCCGCGCCCCCACACCCCCGGACCTGCACAACTGGCAAGGTTAGGTTATCCTGGGGGGAGGGAGGGCAAACCCGATAACCCGAGATATCGCCGGACCCTAAACAAAAACAGTCCCCTGTGTCGCGCGATGTGAGCAACAAGTTGCTAGGAAGGGGGGAGGGGAGAGACGGGTCCTGCGCTGTCCTGTGACGGTAGCAGGCCGGGGGAGAAGGCAATGGCCATTGCCTTGTCCTGTCCGGACAGGAGAGAGAGGGGGGGGCAGTCGGGGCGCACAAGAGTGCCAGAGCGCACGAGGGTGGCCCCAGTGTGGCCCAGCGGTGGCCTTCAGCTGCAGGCCCATTTCCAAATTGTGATGGAAGAGCATGCCTCTTTCTGCGCCAACCCCGTGATCGGATCGAAAACGGATCGGATCGCCAGCGAGTCGTCCCGCATCGAGTTCGAATCGGATCGCCCCGCCCTGCTCCCCGCTGGATGCTGGTGAACAGGACCGAATCGAATCGAACCAGAATCGCGGCCCCACCCGGCGAACCGACTCGCATCGAATCGCATCGCTGCCCCCGCCCCCACACGCCGTCCACCCGAGCCGTGGAATCTCTCCCGTGGGGCCTGGCCGTCGTGGCATGCCGGCATGCCGTGGGCCCAGAACTCTCCTCGGGTCGGGCGAAAGGGGGGGATAGCAAGAGGGGGGGGTTGAGAATCAGCTCACGTAGCTGATTGTCCCGGCGCCTCCCGGCGCCGGGAGGCGCCCATGTATCAAAGGAATGGGCGCCTCGGTGAGGCCGAAACCAGCTGCATGCCGCAGATTTCGAACCCCCCCCCTTCCCAATCCCCCCCCTTTCGCCCGGCCCGATCTCCCCGCGGGCCGCCCAGGGCCCTTCGGAGATCTCCTCGCCCGCCCGCCGCTCCCCAGAGCCACACGGGGCGCCACCCCCGGCCAGCTGCGGACGGGTATATCCCCGTGCTGGTGGGGCAGACCCGCGCCGCGCGCCCACCTCCCGGGTGCCAGGGGGGGGGGCACGCAGGAGTCCACAAGGCCTTCGCAGGGAGGAGGAGGAGGAGGAGGAGGAGGAGGAGGAGGAGGAGGAGGAGGAGGAGGAGGAGGGACGAGAGGAAGAGTTGGCCCAGCCCTTCCCGTCTTCCCCCCCGCTCGCCCGCCTCTCCGGCGGAGCTCTCCTCGGAGCACGTGGTGCAGCCCCCCCTCCGTTGTCTTTTTCGTGCCGAGCGTCGGAGCTGGGGAAGCTCGCAGAGCAGGGGGCGGGCGGGAAGGGACGGGGGAAGGCGGGGGAGATGGCGAGGCGAGGAGGGAAGAGGGCGAGCTCCCCCCTCCTCGTCACCACATCGCCTCGCGGGCCCTCTGAACGTGCACGCCCTGGTGCCTGGCCATGGCGTTCACGAAATCCTGGGGAGGGGCAGGAGGAGGAGCAGCAGCAGCAGGAAGAGGGGGCGCAGTTGGAGGAGGGGCGGCAGGATGGAACAAGAGCGGGTGGAGGGAGGGATGATGAACGGGGTTCGCACAAGGTGGCGGAGGAAGATATGGATGAGGACGAGGATGTGAGCGAACGCAGAAGAAGGGAAAGCAGGTGGGGAGACGAACGGGAGGAGGAACAGGACGGGTGGCCGCGAGGACAGCGGCGGCCACAGAGCGAGCCACGCGAGCTACGGCAGGGAGCAGAAGCCGCGGAGCCTCAGCGGCGAGCGCGACAGCGATGCGCGGACCGTGGGCACCGCTGGCCGCGCTGCGGTGACACCGTTCACCCGCCGAGGCCAGGGGCGCGGAGGGAGAGCTGGACTGCAGCGGCCGGGGCGGCGCGAGACGGCCGGAGATGCCGGCCCGGGGCGAAGCGCGGGCGGGTGGTGACCGCGGGATTGACCCAAACGGGGGGGGGTCATGGAATGGAGCGGAATGCCCATCCGGGGAGAGTGCACTCACCACTAAGTGCCGAGCTCAGGCTCAGATTGCAGGCCTCGAGCGGAGGCCTCCTCAATACACATTCTCTCCACGAGAGCAGCCAGCCGCAGCTCGTATGGAGGGGCGGCCCCCTCACGTCGAGGGAAAACTCACCGCCGCCCCAACCCCAAACCGGGGGGGCGAAGAGCAGGGCCCGGAAGCGTAGCACTTCCGGGCACCGCTGGGAGCCGGCAGGGGCCCCAGAGGGGTCCCGGAGTGCCCCCACTTGAGGATCCTCTTCTTCGTCCCCCCTTCGAGTTTAGGGGGCCACATGCGAACCCTACCCCTACCCCCCACGATTTCTGAGGGGGAGGGTGGGGTTCACTTCGCTCGGGAGCTCCCGAACGAAGTGAACCCCACCTTCCTCCTAAGAAATCGTGGGGGGTAGGGGTAGGGTTCGCATGTGGCCCCCTAGACTGACCCATCGGTCGGAGGAAATAGGTAGAAACATCAAGTAGGAAGGCGTGGAAAGTAGATTGGGTGTCCGCCCGCCCCCCGAAGAGGGCGGATGCTGCGTCAACCACCACGAGCGTTAGGTCGGGCAATTCCCCCTGCAGGCGGGTTTTTGGGCGAAAATTTGAATTACCCACAGAATTTACAAAACAAAAAAAAAAGTCAAACAATCGTCCCCCGACTATTATTATTGTTGTTATTATTGTTGTTATGATTACTGTTCTTGTAGATTCTCCTGTAGAGGGACACGCCCGACGTAACACGAGCGGCGGCGAGCGAGGGGAAGTGAGAAGGAGCAGGCCTCCTCGGCAGGCGGCGGGGCTTCTCAGGAGGCCTCCGGCCTGCTGAGAGGTACTCGGCGCCTTCGGGGAAGACTGAAGGATTGCAACGAAGGACTGCAAAAAGGGGAAGACCGAAGGTTTTTTTTTGCAATCCTTCGGGGAAGACGGAAGGTTTTTTTGTTGCACTCCTTCGTTCGAAGGGTTTTTTTTTGCAATCCTTCGTGCGAGCACTCCTCCAAAGAGGCTGGGCAGACCCCTCCGAGGCTTCTGGGGAGGGCCCGCCCCTGCTCGCTTAGCCCCCCCCCCCCAGCCGGGCTCGCCGCCCGCGTCGGAGGAGGGGGTGCCACCCGCGTGCGCGCACGGGCGGCGAGCGCACATCCGCAGCGACGCCCTCTGTTTCATCCAGCCGACCGGCCGTGCCCCCCTCCCCCCCTCTGCCAGACCGTGGCGCCCAGTGCCTCCTTCTCTTCGTGCCCCCCCTCTCATTCGGACCGACCGGCCGTGCCCTCCCCCACCCTCTGCCCGACCGTAGCTCCCCGCGGGGGCGCGGTCGCAGAGGCGCGCTCCCCGCGGGGCAGCCGCGAAGAAACGCGCCGCATCGAGGGTGTCGCGGCCCAGGGACCCGGCCCGCGAGGCGAGGCCGTGGACATGTTCCTCGCCCACAGCCGGCCCTCGCTCGGACGCCCACTCCCTGTGCTCTTTTTTCGATTTCGTGCGCGGTTGTTTCGCCAAATGATCAAGGATGCTCCTCGAAGGAAAACTGCACACGTCCGAGCGATGCCAGGACAGTGCGCGACGCTCGAGCAGGGCCACCAGAAGGATGAGCCCCGCAACCGTCGAGCTGCAAGACAGGGGACGACCAAGCAGTCTGGGAGCGGACGGGGCGTTCCTGGCCACGGGGGGCACCCGCCGCGAACGGGTCCGCCGAGCCAGATCTGCGGAACGGCCCAGAAACAAGAGCCGCATCCTGAGCCTGGGGCTCCGAGAACCACGTGGTGTCACGCAATTCGCTTCGCCTGGGCCCTTCCCCTCCTTCTCGAAACTCCTCCATCGTCCGCCCCGCCGCCATGGGCGTACGCACGTCTTTCAAACTTCAGTGGGGAAACGTCGGACCGGAAGGAGGAGGAGAGCGAGAAGACGGGGGAGGAGCAATGCTTCAGCGAAACACTGCGAAGCACGCGCACGCACCAACACCGTGACATTGGTTTCCGTCTCACGGAGACCTCCCTAGCCTTCGAGCTCCTCACCTCACCCCTCCCTGTGGCTGGACATCCCGTTTGGGCCTCGCCGTCGCGCTCGCTCGCGACAGTCCAGGGGAGCATTTGGGATGATGGGCGGGGGAGCGGGGTTTGAGTCAGGTTGCAATTCAAGCGAGGCTCGAGAAGCCACAGCAGCCTCCCTTGATGGGGTGCTGCCCGCACTTTTCTTTACCACCGTAATCGTGCGTGCATGACTGCGGTTTAACCTGTTCATTGTCACCCTGTCCGCGTGTGGGAGACGCTGCTCTGTTTGACCCGCCCTCGTCGCTGTCGTCGTCGTCGTCGTCGTCGTCGTCGTCGTCGCGGTCGGCAACGTTGCTGTCGCTGCTCCCCCCCGTTTCCCCGGGCCCTCCTCTTCACCGCCAACCACTAAGAAATTGAGAAACGTCGCAATTCAATTGAAGGGAAGCCCTTTCCCTTGGATCATTTCCCCGCCGGGACGATGGGGGGGTCCCGGGGGTGGTAGAGGGCGGGGGGGTCCCAGGTCAGAATACCGACCCCCCGTGGAGCCGTGAGGGGCGAGGACCCCCATGCGGATCGGGAGAACTGAGGACGCCCAAGTCCCCCGTGTGGACAGGGGGGGCAAGGGGGTCGCCACCCCTGTGGACAAGGGGAACACAAGACCCCTGCGGCCCCCCTCCCCCCTGTCAAGAGGGACAAGGAAAACTCACCCCTCCTCCCAGAACCTCTACCCCAGAGGCACCCTGATCTACTTACCTGCTGCTGCGGGGTGCTGCATATTTCCTACATGCCTCCGAGAGGCCTCAGATCCGCTCCAAGGCAGCTTCGAGTGACCACGGAGCTTCCCAAAAAGTCCCACCAGAGGCCCCCCAACAGCGCCCCAGGGTCTGCGGCACCAGCCGCAAGGCCTTCGCAATAGAAAGAAACATAGAATCGTCTCCCAAAACCGTGTTGTGACGGATCGCGTGGTGACCCCATGAATTCCCAACGACCTCAGCGCGCGGTCCGTCACCACTAGGGCCTTCAGGGCCTGTCGCAAAACCGTGCGGTGACCCCGCACCCCAACAGACTTCCCACGCGGTGTGGTCACCACACCGCTTGGGCCCCCCCCGAAGAGAGAAGAGAGAGAGAGAAAGGGATACAGAGAGAGAAGCAAAGAGTCGGAAAGAGGAAGGACCAGGAGGACGAGGAGGGGGAAGATGAAGAGCTCGAGAGGAGAGGAGGATGGACCGAAGCATATGGATGAGTATCGTTTAAACGATCCCCATCCCCAGCGGCGCGGCCTGGGACCCACTGGCCGATTTACCCCTCAAGATGGGGATATAGGCCGTTCCCTTCGGGCTTCGAGGGGTGTCTCCCCAAATGGGGTGGTAATTTGGTGGGGCTCTCGAAGGGGATGAGGATGGGGATGGGGGTCGGCTAAACGATACTGAATGGAGGCGACCCGGCGGAGGGGAGGAGGGAGGAAGGACGCACCGCTGGCGGACGTCCTCGACGGGCACCCAACCGCCCTCCTCGAGCAGCAGCGCCTCGAGCCGCTCGGAGGGGCCGACTCGAAGGTTGCAGCGCTGGGTGCCGTAGAGGTACGAGCCCTTGCCAGCGCGCGCGCGCTGGAGTAAAGGCGCCCAGGGACACACCAACAAATACACACAAATCCAAGGATTTCCCATAGTTCCCCATTTTTGCCCGGGTGCTCCTTTTCCCCCAAGATTGAGTGTGTCTTTACCAGCCTCGAACTTATCCCTATCCCTGAGATTGGCACGCCAAAAAGCGATGACAGTCTTAGGGATGCGCCCTCAAAAAATTATGCTAACGGAATTCCCCACATAATGATGTTATTGGGATAGCGGGATCAAGGATCACTTGTCATGAATTTGCCGACCTGCCCTCGCCCTCTCCATCCTTTTCTATCACATGGTTTGCGAATACCCTCCTCGCTCAGGCGGGGCGACCCTGGAGGGGTTGGAGGGGCACGGAACCTGATAAATAACACTGCTTTCGAATAGCGTCCTCGCTCAGGCGGGGCCTCCCTGGAGGGGTGGGAGTGGCACGACACCTGATAAATAACACTGTTTTCGAATAGCGTCCTCGCTCTGGCGGGGCCTCCCTGGAGGGGTGGGAGGGGCACGAAACCTGATACATAACACTGTTTTCGAATAGCGTCCTCGCTCAGGCGGGGCCTCCCTGGAGGGTGGGAGGGGCACGAAACCTGATGCATAACACTGTTTTCGAATAGCGTCCTCGCTCAGGCGGGGCCTCCCTGGAGGGGTGGGAGGGGCACGAAACCAAATAAATAGCACTGTTTTCGAATAGCGTCCTCGCTCAGGCGGGGCCTCCCTGGAGGGGTGGGAGGGGCACGAAACCTGACAAATAACACTGTTTTCGAATAGCGTCCTCGCTCAGGCGGGGCCTCCCTGGAGGGGTGGGAGGGGCACGGAACCTGATAAATAACACTGCTTTCGAATAGCGTCCTCGCTCAGGCGGGGCCTCCCTGGAGGGGTGGGAGGGGCACGAAACCTGATACATAACACTGTTTTCGAATAGCGTCCTCGCTCAGGCGGGGCCTCCCTGGAGGGGTGGGAGGGGCACGAATCCTGACAAATAACACTGTTTTCTAATAGCGTCCTCGCTCAGGCGGGGCCTCCCTGGAGGGGTGGGAGGGGCACGGAACCTGATAAATAGCAGTGCTTTCGAATAGCGTCCTCGCTCAGGCGGGGCCTCCCTGGAGGGGTGGGAGGGGCGCATGGTATTGGTATGGTATTGGTATGGTATTGGTATGGTGGGAGGGAGCTCAGACGAAACCTGATAAATGACAGGTGTTGCATGGTATTGGTATGGTATTGGTATGGTATGGTATGGCTTGGTATGGTATTGGTATGGTATTGTATTGGTACGGAATGGCTTGGTATGGTTTGGTATGGTATTGGTATGGTATGGTATTGGTATGGTATGGTATTGGTATGGTATGGTATTGGTATGGTAACGTATTGGTATGGTATAGCTTGGTATGGCTTGGTATGGTATTGGTATGGTATGGTTTTGGTATGGTATGGCTTGGTATGGTATGGTGATGTGCGGAATGGTATCGTATGGTATGGTTTAGGAGAAGGACGCGGGAGGAGGAGGAGGAGGAGGAGGAGAAGGAGAGGGTGTTCTGGGAAAACAAGAACCCCACTCAGGCTGTGGGGAATAAGAGAACCCCTAAGATTGGCATCGTGACGAGGAGATGCCCAGCATAGGGATAGGGTTTATGCTCCAGGCTGACAATGTCCGTATGTTTCCCTTTCCCTCCCGATAGAGGACGGGGAGGGGGCGGCCACGAGAAGCGCACCCGTCCACCCCCCCGCGGACTGGACCCCGTGGCGCCGTCCCCCGGGGCCGGTGACCGGGCCCCTGCCCTGCGGCCCCGCTCCCCCCCCCCTCCCCTCCCCTTGTTGCAGTCGGGCCCTGGGCCAGAGAAGCACCCCTCGAGAACAGGAGGCCCTCCGCCGGGCCCAAAGGCACAGCGCATCCAAGGATGTACAGCTTACCCCCAGGAGGCACAGGAGCGGCCGACCAGCATGAGGAACCCTGGGGCACGCTCCCCGAACCGACCTCTCGACCCTGTACCTCGGGCCGACCGCACGAGGCACGCGAAGGGAGGGCGGGGGACGGGAGCCGGGGGAGGCGAGCGGAGGCAGCGGAGGCAGTCCTCCTCCTCCTCCTCCTCCTCCTCCTCCTCCTCCTCCTCCTCCTCCTCCTCCTCCTCCTCCCTCCCCCTCCCTCCTCCCTCCCTCCCTCCCCCCTCCTCCTCCTCCTCTCCTCCTCCTCCTCCTCCTCTCTCCTCTCCTCCTCCTCCTCCTCCTCCCCCTCCTCCTCCTCCTCCTCCTCCTCCTCCTCCTCCTCCTCCTCCCCGTAGCCATTAGGGGGGCATGGCAAGTGCGGGGCGGGGCACTCGACGGAGTCAGGACCCGGACGGGCTCGAACCGGGGCAGATCGGGCTCTCCAGGGTCCTGCAGCTCTCCAGGATGGACCGGGCGTGTCGGACGCCGCGACCGCCGTGTCCGAGCGCCGTTTCCGAGAGCTCCGGAACTCTCTGTCCTCATCGTTCCTCCTTGTCCTCATTTTTCAGCATCTTCCTTGCTCCACCTCCTGCTCATGGTTCTCACTCTTGCTTGTCATCTTCCCCTTCGTCCTTCCTCCTACATCTGTCCAGGACGCCGGAGATTGAGTCACTGTTGTGACGGCCGCGCACTAGACATGTTCGTCCAAAGACATGGCTTCGGTTAGACAAAGACTGTTCAAGTAAGGTTCCGCGCATCAAGACGGAGGTGCCGACCCCTGTCGTGGCACGGACATGATTCCCCAGGCGTCCTCCCACGACACCCCCGTCTCTCCCCGCCCTCCACTTACCTCCTCCTCCTCAGAATCCTCCTCGCTCGTGCACCATCGTTCCTCGTCCTTGCCTGCAAGGCCCCCGGGGAGGAGGGCCACGGAAGCGCCCACAGAAGCCCGCACAGAACAGGCCCGCACCTCCATCCTCGATGCCCAGGGCCCAGGGGGCGGGGGCAAAGCTCAACGGGCGGCGGCGCCGGAGAAACGCACAAACAGCATACGCACACAACTGTCGGAATACCACGCAGACTTTTCGGGCCGCCTGACGCTGGACCCCCCCCGCTGGCGCGCGGAGCGCGCCAGGGAGGCGCGCGCCAAGGGCGGCGCCGGTGGCGCCGCCCGGGTGGCCCAGCGCAGATCCAAACATCGGCGCGGGGCTACGAAAGTTAGTACTTTTGCAGTGGTTTCCTTCTGCAACTTGGCGGAGACGTCGACCGCCGACGACCCTGAGATCCGACGTCCGACGGCTTGATAAGAAAGGTAGGGATGGGAGGAGGGAGGAGCGGGAGGAGGGAGAAGGCGGGAGGAAGGAGGCGGGAGGAGAACGCGGGGCGCTGTCTCCTCGAAGCGAAGACCCAGCAGCACAGGCTGGCTGGGAATGAAGCTCTGCAGAAAATCACGACCCGAGCTCCGGGCCCCATCTTCCCGTGGCACCTCTCGAGCCCGATCGTTACGCGAGGGCCACCCGGCCCGAGGCAGAGCGAGATCGCCCGTGGTGGCGAGCATGCGCCGCCAGGATCTCAGGCGGCGGCGGCCGGCGAAGAGCGGCGCGAAGGGCGCGGCGAGCGCCTCGCCGAGGCGGCAGAAGAGGGCCCGGCAGCCCGCGCCCTCGGGGAGGTTCACGAACTCCGCCACGGCCTCGTCGACCCTGGCGGGGGAGGGGCTCGTGGGCAGGAGGGCTTGTCGACTTGCGCCACCTTGCCGCCGGAAGGAACAGGGAACGGAGGGACGTCTCCGGCCACCGCGGGCCCAGGCCACGAGGCGGTGCCCCGGACCTGGGTCTCAGGAGTCCCCTCAAGACCGAAGGCGGTCCTTCTCTCGGCGTCCCGACTGGACACGGTATCGAGTTGCAGCTGCATGCTTTGCTTGGCCCAAGGCGGGCCAGAAGCAGCTGGCTGAGGAACCAGTGCGGCCTTGCCGTGGTCACTTTGGAGGGGACGTGTCACAAAGAGGAAGGGATGGCCAGACATCCGACGTCGTGCTTGTCTCGCGACGTGGCCAAAAAATGGCCCCTTCTCGGAAACCGGCTTTTCATCCTGAATTGTTTTTTAGCGGTCCCAGGGCCCCGAGGGCCCCCCGCACAGCACGGTGGGATCTTTTTGGAATTCAAGGTCCACATTGACACGCGGCCGCGGATAGATACAAACCAGCGCAATAGGAAGGGATGGGTGGGAGGGTAGGATGTCAGATATGGCGCGAGCGCACCTAGCTTGCCTCCTCACCGCTTCCTCCCCGAAATGTTTCCTCAAGGGAGTCCGCAACGGCTTGGCGAACACATGGTCCAATAGCTTGGCCAAGCTGTGTCCCAGCGTTTGGCTACATCGGCGTGTCCAGAACCGCAGGCGGCGGCGGTGACTCGCCGTGGGCATCTTCGACAAAACAGACTGAACAGTGTCCACTGCCAATCTGCAAACTTTGTTGACCACATTGCAAAAGGGAGGGGATCAAAACCGGCAGAAGGCGTGTCTGCACGTTGGTGGTCATGTGAAGTGGCGGGGGGGCATTTGCAGCACGCATGACGTCCACCGGTCCCTGTGGGGTCACAAGGCGTGCGAGACTCCTCCCTTCTCCCTCCCCTGTATCCGAACCTCACTTCGCAAGGGAAAGGCCACCTCGGGGACATGGCGAAGGAGTGTAAAACCGCGAGAAGCGACCCCCCGCTAAGATGAGCTCGTGAAACCACTCAGACGATGTCCCCCTGAGGTAGCGCGAACCGACAAGGTTGTCTTGGGAAAATCCTTGGAAAATCTCGGACCCTCACCTCTTCTCCTCCTCCTCCTCCTGCTCCTCCTCCTCCTCACCCTCCTCCTCCTCCTCCCACCTCAATCCTCTCCTCCCCTTATCCAGGCTCCCTGCCCCTGATCCTGGAACTGAAGCCGCCGCTCTTCTCGCATGTCCTGCTCCTGCTGCTGCTGCTCCCCCGCCTCCGCCGCCATTCTGCGCGGCGTCGATGTCCACGTTGCACTGTCCACATTTACTTGCGCGAGACGAATGACTCGAGGCACGCCGCGCACTGCGTGAAACAAATGTCCGACACTACAGGCGCCTCTGTTTTGGGGCGCATCCGCCCTTGCCGCTGCAGCTCGGGCTCCGACGCGCCGCGCGGAGAGGGCGGCGGCCCGCCCCTGGACTGTGGGGGCGACCTGGCGGCCTGCACGTGACCGCGCTGTGAACTGCTGACCATATGTTGTATGCGCCTGGCGTTTCTATCGAGCGCGGCCCTCCGGGTTTCGTCAGCTGTTTGCATAGTTGCTTGCGTCGTCGTATGAATATCGTGCAAGTATGTAAGCGAGGTGCTTGCAGGTGGATCGATATCCAATTCAGGTGGTTGTGCCGCTGTATCTGGGTCTGCTGGCGACGGCTGATAAACCGCGAGCGGATTCATTCCCGCACCTGGGACACGCGCCGCCTGCGAGCGGTGGAAATCATCCACCAGATCCCGTGTCATTTGGTTTTGAATCAATGGGCCCACTATTGGAGTTCAATTGATCCTTGCAAAATGCCAGGTAAATAGCGGCTGGTCCATGGGTTGCGCAGCCCGCCCTTGGAGTGGAAGGCGCGATGGATTCGCAGCAAACGCAGGAATGAATGCCAACCTATCCGGGTGGACTGCCGATGGAGTTGCGCCTGGATGCCACTCCCAGGGCGGCGTCCTGCTATTCCGATCTGTCGCGTCCACTCTGAGCAACCTCATCTCAGACATGGCCGATCGATGTTGTTGTTGAACGCATCTCTGTTGCTCAAGTGCCGACTGCGTGTCCAGGCTGGTTTGTTGGCGCTGCCATCGGCGAGCTTGCTGGACTGCCAGTGGCCTGGCCTTGGCGTGGAGTGCCAATGGGTGTCGATACCCTAATGGCAGCTGCCTGGTCGGGGCACTGGCGCAGCATCACCATGCGCTGCATGAGGTCCTCGTTGCTCGCCGGCGCTGCTGACAAGCCATTGGGCGCGCCCGCCACTGACGCCGGGCTCGGCTCGGACCTTGGCTGACCGAACGCCACGGGCTCGAACCTAATGGGGCCAGCGCTTGATGGCGTCCATGCTGATCCGAAACTCACCGGCGGCCCTGCTGGCGCGTTGCCGAGGGCGACTGCCCCGGGGTCATACATGCCGAAGACATCCAACATAATGGCCATATCATAAGATGGCGATATGCTCCAGGAGGATGGGCCGGCTTGCGTCGGCAGAGCTGCCGGTGGCCCAGCATTTGTTGGCGTGGCTATGCCAGCCCGCGCCCCCGCGCCCATTAAGTGGCTGACAGCGACCGTTGGGCCATCCTTCTCCGCCGAGATAACTCATGGGCGCGGCCACCCCAACGCCGCGCGGAGATTCAAGCTCGAACCAGCTCTGTTGGAGATTGACGTCGCCCAGGGTTATCGGCCAAGTCCCGCCAATGGAAATGCTGAGGATTCTGCCAGGCGCTGTTCCGCGCGAGTTCGGGTTCCAACGCAAGTTGCATGATGTTCTTGGTCGGGAAAAGACCGTCGAAGACACTCGCCAGAAGAAAATCGTCAGCGGAACGCCACACCTTCGCTGCGTCCCGCAATGAGCTCGGGATAGAAATGAATATGAGGAGCTCGCTGTCCCCCCGGAGGCTGAGCGAATCCTGGCGCCCCCCTTGTCAGCACGGGAATCCGCGCACGGACTGCCTGCCGCGCTTGCCTCGTGGATTGCTTTCTGCGCGACGGGGCGGCCCATGCTCGATGATTCTGCTCAGGATTTCAGGAGTTCCCACTTGGTTCCGCGCGCGAAGAACCTGGGGTCTCCGACGCCAGCATCGGGGTTTCTGCCTACGCGCAGTGCGCAGCGGTCCTGGAAGTGGCATGCCAGGATACCAGTGTCCACTAGTGGCTCTGCTCCATAATGTTGGGACGCCCTCGTCGTCGCGCTTTCAAGCTGAAGGCGGTTCTTCTCGGCCCCCGAACTGTCCGTCACATTGCCAACGTGTAGGAGCGACCCACTGAAGTCGCCCTGTTGTGGGTAATGCGCCCTGTTTGTTTATATATAATCCTTATATATATATATATATATATATATATTCTCCCCTACCAACCCAGACATGAGCCGAAGCATCCATAACTGCAACCCAACCATCAAAGCGATTCCACGTCCTGCATTTTTTCAAATCGCCCACCATGGACGCCGCCGCGAAATCGCATGCGCCTGCAGGTGCGGGGCCATCATTTGCACGGAGCAGCAATGTCATTCAGGGTCTAGATTCGGCTTTCTTTCCAGAAACTCAGGGGTTGAACGATGCGAAGCTTACTCCGCAAACTTTGCTTCTCTGCTTCGGCGGCGGCATGCGTCGGCAATGTGAATGGCCGCGGGCGCGCCACTTCTCGGACATTGCCCTTGTTGACCTGGGCGCGTCCGCGGGCGCGCCCGCCCCCGCTGGGATATCTGCGCCATCTGGCTTTAAGCATGCAACCTTTGACGTCGGTTTGAGTAGCATGGCCGGTGGCCCCACAGATGGCAAGGCCGCGGCAGACGACTCGGCGGGCGTTTCAGCCAGTAGTCTGGCGCCCCACATGGGGGCCTTCCTGCTTGGGCCGCGGCTGCTTGCCGACTGGTAGTGGCTAGGGTGGGCCAGTGTCCTCGCTGTTCTGCTCTGTGGATTCCCTTTTTGAGATGGTCGGATCTATGCTCCTTTAGATTCTTCATCGCTGCAAGATGAAAAGCGCATCAATGACTGACTCATCTCCGCCCGCTGCCGAGCTGGATCTTCCAATCTCCCATGGCCGCCGCGATAGACCGGGCCATCCTAAGACCCCGCAGACCCCGCGGCAATCAATTGCTCGGGCAGAGGCGTGGAGCTACCTCCGAAGCGGGCAGCTCTCTTGCTGGCATCGCTTGAACGCCTCCATGAAGGGTCGCAATCCCTCTCAATGCCGCTATGAGGGGGGCCCCTCTAGGTCCACCTCCTGTCCTGGACGCGGCTTCTTGGAAGGGGCCGCTTTTGACCTCTCGGCCTCCCGGGCGCCCTGAGCGCGCCCGCCCACCTCCTCGCCGGAGCCATCTGCGCCCTGGCGCGCCCGCCCGACGGCCCGGATGGCGAGGTGGGCGCGAACGGCTGCCCCTCCTGATCTTCTTCTACATCCACTATCTTCCTGCCGGCTCCTCGGGCGGGCGCCGGGGGAGACGCGGAGGCCCCGGCGCCGAGGCTGCCCGCGATCTGCCCCGTCGCGTTCAGCCCGCGCCGACGGCGAATACTGCGATCCCTATTCACGTGCCTCGGCAGGACCTGTTCCGCGCCTGCCAGCGCCAATTCTGGCCGCAGGCTGAGAACATGATTCTCGCCCAAGGCATGCCAATCATCACTTGCGCCTCGGGCTTCCGCGTCGGCCAGCGGGGCGCCATCCGCCTCGGACGCGGCCGCCCATTCGCCGCCACCGCGGTCAGGATGCAACGGTGTCTTGCCATGATGCGGGCTGCGAGATGGACGGCCCATGGGCCAATTGCTGCGGCGACCTGATGTTTTGATGATGCGCTTGTTGTCATCGCGAGTAACGTGTTTGAAAGGCCACCAGCAGCGAACCTGTTATCCTAAATATCCCTGTTCGAGGTAGCATGCCACGCCTGCTTCGTTAGTCCCCGCGCGCGCGCCCAGTTCGTCAGAAGAGAAAAAACGCACCCATCCCGGGGAAATCTGCGCCCATGTCCCCGGCCCGACTCGCTTGAGCTTGCGCCGTGCGTGGGCTCCGCAGACTGAGCATAGCTCCTGGGCCCGCCGCGCGTGAATGACTACGACCTCGATCAGGAAAACCCGCGCCCGGGCTTTGAATGTCAGAGTTCCCTGGTGCACCTGCTGCGGCGTGGGCAGACGTGCAGGGCCGATGATGTGTCGATGTCGGGAAATAAGCGCACTCGATGATATCCGCTTTGGGTTGCTCTGAGTCGAAGAGCGCGCCCCCCCCCCCCCGCCCCCGCACCTCCCCTAGGACGCGGTGCTCGGACATGTCTATCGCCCCCGCAGGTATTGCATGTCATGCACGTGCCGTTTGCGTTGATTGGGTTGAGCCTGCGCCCCTCGCCCTGGCCTGCAGCACGTCTGCGGCCTTTGCCTCTGCCTTCGCCTCTGAGAAACAGGTCCTCGAAGTCGTAGTTTGTCGATTGGGCTAGCAATCTGCAATGCAATCTGCGGGCGCGCCTACCACCGTCGCCGCGGCCTTCACCCCAGCGGCAAAAGACGCGACGTACAGCTCGCCATGATATCCTTGCTGGCTTCGTCACATGTCGCCTCCGCCTTCTTGGCGCGATGATATCCCCGGTGCAAATACTGCGTTGCTGCATCATCGCCGGCGGGCGGAGCTGACAAGTCAAGATTTTCAGCGCCAGTAAAGGGGGCCGCATCGGCATCAGTGCCGGAATCGAAGAAGTCGCCATCTTGTTGGCGGGGGGAGACCCAGAGGCTTGTCGCGTCAGGTGGTGCATAGCTGGCGGCCGATGGCCAACCGATATAGGAACCAGGAGCCCGTGCGTCGTTGGCTTCTTGGCCTAGAGAAGTCGCGGATTCAGTCGGCTCTCCGTCGTTCCAGATGCCATTCGGCATGGCTGCCGGTGTGTCGCTTACTTCGGCGTGGTAGGTGCCTGGGTTGCGTCCGTTGAAGATGCCCCCGATGTTTCCTGGGGAACGCTTGGCCAAGTGTCCATGGCTGCGCATTCTCTTCAGGAGTTGGTCGCATTGTTGTTGGGTGCGGGGGCATTTACTGGTTCACCGGTTGCAGCGGCTGCGCTGCTCGGGAGGTACTAACTCCCAAAGTGCGCAATAAGATCAGGGTCAGGATCCGGAAATGAGCATGTTGAAACCCGCCGAATATGCTTCCAGCCTGGCCGTTTCGAGTCGGGACAACACTAAATCGATGCTTTCGCCCCGATCGACCCTGAAATCGATGAGGGCTGTCCCGAGGTGAGCCATCGTTCGTCCTCAAGGTTTTCAAATTCTGAGCTTCGTAAGTACATGATGTAATTAAGTGACTCCGTCGGTGGGTCCAGCCTGTAACGTGGCACCATAGCTGATAATGGTGGACGGCACCCTCATAGCTAGTGTCCTGGCTAGGCCCCCTTTGCCGCGCTGTAATGCCGCGGCATGTTGGGGTGGAGTCCTACTTCCGCTCGCGACGTTGAGCCTTGCGTATACTTCGCAAACAAGTTCGTGGAGGGGTACGTTGCTTGCGGGTTCCCTGAAAGGCACCCCGAGTACGTGTTTCATTCAGTCCTCCTCCTCGCATGTACGCCACGGCAGGACCTAGGCACGCCCACGTGGTTCGAAAAACGGCAATCCTGACATAATGTATGACCATTATGTAGCTGATGATGCCAAGTTTCGTATCATTCGTGTTTGTCGCGGCGGCAGGGTTGCAACTGGGTGTTTGGTTTGACGTGGCCGTAGGTTTGCGGATGGGTATAGGTTATTGGGTTGTGTGTGGCGTGTGGCCAAGCGGTGGGGAGATGGAGACATAGGGCTGTAGGTTACCAGTTGGTTGAAGAGCATTGGGAGCGTAGTGGCTGATAGCCAGCGCAGTCGGGTAATACGTTGCGCCGTGGTGAATTGTTATGTACATACCACCTGATGTCAGAGCCAACCACATAAAGAGGTCGCCAGCTTCGCTACCAAGTGAAAAAAATAGGGTTGAGGGCTTGACCATGAGGTACTAAGCTGATAACCCTACTCTTAGGATGACGTCGGCGACGTATCGAAGTATCCCACAACTCATCACGTGATGGCAAGCAATATGAGAGACAAGAGACAAGCCATGAGAGGTAGAGATGGATCATTGATAAACGTGGCCTTTTCTTTGATAGAATGAACCGGATAGAGTCACACTGTCGTGTAACTAGCAAATAGTGCTGCTCAACCTTGAGCAAACATTGCGGCGGATATAGCGCTCGCTATACAGCCCCATATTAAACCTTGAATGACAAGGGGAATGTTTCTTAGGAGCATGCTGCTTCTTAGAAAGCACCTGCCCCTCAGAGCCCGCGCCTTCTGAGAAGCAGGGGTGCTTCTGAGAAGCCTTCCCTAGGGGAGCGAAGAATGACATGAAGATAAACAACACGGAGGTCCGCGCGGATTTCTCGGATCCGCGCTAGACTACCCTCCTTGGCGCGCGGAAGGGCGGCGCCGGAGGCGCCGCCAAGGGGCCCCAGCGCCGATCCGAGAAATCGGCGCGAACCTCCGAGTGTGTATGTTTATGTCATGGTTGGTTCCCCTCCTCCTCCTCCTCCTCCTCCTCCTCCTCCTCCTCCTCCTGCTCCTCCTCTTCCTCCTCCCCCTCCTCCTCCTCCTACTCCTCCTCATCCTCCTCCTGATCCCCCTAACCCCCTCTGCTCGCCGCCGATCTCGGCGGCACGCAAGAGTGACCCCGGGCAAGACAGGCCCCTGTTGCGCGGCCCCCTGGGGCCGCGGGGAGGCCAGGCTCAGGCGCGTCAGCCTGTGCTTGGGGGGGGGGGCTCTGTGGGCCTGCACCGAAGGTCGCTCCGGCGAACGTCCACCCTGAAGAACAAACCGAAGGCGCACTTCTCGAACCACCTACCCAGACCCTGGGCCGGTTCTGATTTGTTCATGGAGTCGCCCCCCAGAGGTCTGGTCCCATTCCCCGGGACCGGTTTTTCGTCCCGAGGCCTGGCAAGGGCAAAAATTATGGACCCCCCCCCGCCGTGACTTTTTCACGACTCGAGGGGGTCTGACGCTGGGAGGCCCCTACTCACCGCGCGAAGAGGCCCTGGACTCGGCGGCCCCAGCCGGCACGCGCAGCCGGGCGGAGGAGGAGGAGGAGGAGGAGGAGGAGCCAGGAGGAGGAGGAGGAGGAGGAGAAGGAGGAGGAGCAGGAGGAGGAGCCAGGAGGAGGAGGAGGAGGAGGAGGAGGAGGAGGAGGAGGAGGAGGAGGAGGAGGAGGAGGAGGGAGAAAGAGGAGGAGGAGGAGGAGGAGGAGGAGGACGAGGAGGGGGAGGAGCCCGCCTGTCGCCAGGGTGGGGCCTGTAGCTCTGCGCGGTGGCGGCCAGCGCGGGCTCCGGCGCGCGGCTGGGCGGCGGCCGCCCCGGCGCCTGGCGAGCCGCGGAGAGCCGTCGCGGCGCGGCCTGGCGAAGCTTCGGGCGGCGCACAGGCAGCCGCCCCAGGCAGTCTCGGCAGGCCTCCACAGGCCGCCCCGAGTGCTCTCGAGGGGGCAAGAATCGCCCCCCCCTTGAAGCCGCTGGGGGGGTTGGGCACGTGCTGTGGGCACGATCGGAGGGGGGTGGGGGGGAGGAGGAGGGGGAGGGGGAGGAGGAGGAGGAGGAGGAGGAGGGGAGGAGGAGAGGAGGAGGAGGAGGAGGAGGGAGGAGGAGGAGGAGGAGAATGGAGAGGGAGGAGGAGGAGGAGGAGAGGAGGAGGAGGAGGAGGAGGAGGAGGAGGGGGTGGAGGAGGAGGAGGGCGGAGGAGGAGGAGGAGGGGAGGAGAGGGGAGGGGGGAGGGGGAGGGGGAGGGGGAGGGGGAGGAGGACGGATGGGGGCGGGATTGGGCAAGCTCAGTCTGAAGGTCAATCACCCATCCTTGAGAAATGCCCCATCCAGAGTCATCCCAGCTGGCCTGAGCAGGCCTCCCCGAGTGGTCCAGGGCCGGTCTCAGCACCCCAGCCCTGCGGCGCGAAACGCCCAGGGGCGGCGCCGAGGGTGTCGAGCCTGTCTGTGCGCGACCCGAAGCCTTCCCAGCGCGGCCCTCCCGTCGGGCTTCTCCTCCTCCGGCTCCGCATGCCAAGACATCCGACGAACTGTCTTGTTGTACGTGCAGGCGCGTGTTCCCCGATCCTCTGAGCCCATGCGCTCGGACCCGATTTCGGAGGCCTCTGACAAGGGCTGTTCCGAATCCCCAGATCTCCGACGATGCTTTTTTTTGTCAACCTGGGTGTCTTTCCTCGACTTCGGCACCTCCCGCGCAGATCATCGGATATCCACCTTGCCCAATTGAGGACAATGATGCTCCCTGGTCCCATCATTCTCCTCCTCCCCTCATTCATCCTCCATCCCCCCTCCGTCTCTCCATCCGTCGCTCCCTCCCCTTCTCTCCTCCACCGCCGCAGCCTCCCCGTCCCCCCATCACTCCCTCCACCGATCACGTCCTCCCATGGTCTTCCGCCCTTCCTCGAGGCTTCGGAACGTCAGGGGGGATCGCCTCGGGGCGGGAGAATGTCGACCTGGAACCGGCGAGTTATCGCCGACGGATCGGCGACATGCCCACGATAGCGAAACGGGGCCCCTCGGCGAGCCGTGGGCCAGTGGGGGATCGATACATCCCGCCGCCCGCCCCCCCCCGCCTGAACCGATCCTCCCCGCACGTTGCCGAACCCCTTCTCCATCGATCCCGTCCTCCCGCCGTCGCCCTTCTCTTAAGTCGGGCATGTCCTCCTGCAGGCGGATCTTGGGCGAACAGTAAAAATCGTCACCAAACATGCAAAAAGTGCCCAAAAAGATCGAACAATCGTCCCCGAACGATTCTTTGACTATTTTGGAATATTCCTCCTGTAGAGAAACATGCCCGAATTATCCCTCTTCTTCCCCCGAGGACGCCGTGCTGGCACTGGCGGTGGCGGCGGCGCCCGCCCCCGCGCCGCCGTGGCCCAGCCCTCGGGGGATGGGGGGGGGCGGGGCGGGGCTGGGCCGGAGTGGCGCGGTCGGCCGGGCCTGCGCATGGGCGAGACAGGGCCGGATCCTCCTCCTCCTCCTCCTCCTCCTCTCCTCCTTCTCTCTCTCCTCCTCCTCCTCCTCCTCCTCTCCGCCTCCTCCACCTCCACCTCCTCCTCCTTCTCGTCCTCCTCCTCCTCCTCTCTCCTCCTCCTCCTCCTCCTCCCTTTCGAGACCCTTTCGATATGAGCTCCGTAGCTCCTGCTCCTCCCCCTCCTCCTCCTCCTCCTCCTCCTCCTCCTCCTCCTCCTCCTCCTCCGCTACCCCCTTCCTGCGTTGCACCGACGTAGATCAGGGATCGCCGCGTCTGAAGGCTGGCCACGACAAAATGTAAGGCACCGACTCTGGCGATGGGCAGTGTCCTGAAGGACAAACACACATGCTACATACGCCTGTCACGGTGGATGCCTCGGGTGAGGAAGGCTCTCAGACAAATGTAAAGATGAAGGATTCGCTAGGGCTTGGAGAAGCAGACCTGTGTATTCAGGCCTCAGAGAGGGGGGGAGGGAAGCCTTCTCTTCCCCCTCCTCTCCTCCGCAGCCATTTTGGCTCGAGACAGGTCAGGGGCTGATCTGCGCAGCCCCAATCGAGACGCGCCCTGCTGGGGCCAAGAGTCCGATCGCGCTGGGGCGGAATGATCTGTAGAAGGGAGCATAATTATGTAACGCGCGGCGGCTGCAGCAAGTGAGGCTACCATGACAGGCTGCGCAAGCAAAACGGCGACTGGCGGCGTCTGCGGCGACTGCATCGGCATGCCGAGAGCGTGGGCTGGCGGAGGGGCGGCGGTGCAGATCGAGGAGGTGGAGCCCTCGACCCCGGCAGGCGCTACCTTGCCCGCCTGACGAGCGCCCATGCCGCCGGTAGTTGGCATTGCTGGAGCCGCCTTTGATGCGCCACGCGGCGGTCCTGCGCCCTGGGGGCGACTGGAGGGGTTCACCTGTTCTCTTGAGGGAAGTTTCTCCTCTGGGATTGGGAGGAAGGGGCGCGAGGTGACAGACGGCCCTTGTAGGCTCGAGATGGTCCCAGTACAGCCCCCAACGCCCCCAGCCCCTCGACACCCCCATAGAACCCCCCAATAAGCCCAAATCGCCTGCAAACCTTCAGGAAACCAGTGGCTTTTGGCGTCTAGCCTTTTCGCCTCCGATTGGCCGCCGGAGCCTTCAGATGGCAACAATACTGCCCCCAGAGAGCCCCAAGAAGAACCCCAGAGGGCCGCAAGACAGCCCAAAAGGCACCCAAGACTCTCCCAAGATCGTTCCAAGAGTTCCCCACGAGGTAATGCTTCGGCTTCCGAGAGAGGGCCGCATTGACCCCGTTTTGAACCGAAGGGCCCAAGACGGCCCCAAGACTCCCTCAAAGAGCCCCTCACGCCCTCCAGAAGAGCCCCTGTAAGGCCACAGGATGGCCCCGAGAAAATCGCATGAGGGCCCCAAGACGGACCCGGGAGTCCTTCAGGAGGCCCTCAAAGTCATACATCTGCGAAGGCCTTCTCCAAATACTCATGGTCCTCGTCTCCTAATCCTCCTCCTCCTCCTCCTCCTCGCCCTCCTCCTCGTCTTCCTCCTCGTCTTCCTCCTCGTCTTCCTCCTCGTCTTCCTCCTCCTCCTCCTCCTCGTCCTCCTCTTCCTCCTCCTCCTCCTCCTCCTCCTCCTCCTCCTCACTGCTTCTCTCGTCCTCCTCATCCTTTTCCCTCCTCCTCCTCCTTCTCCTCCTCCTGGTCCTCTTCCTCCTCCTGCCCCTGCCCATGCCCGCTGTCCTCCTTCACATCATGTTCTCCTTCTGCCTCCTCATCCGACCGACCCTCATGGGCATCGTTATTGCATGTGTTGGTGGAGACACGCGAGGGGACAATACTTGCAAAGGGGACAGGATTGTGACAGACAGCGAGGCGAAAGTGCGCGTGGTCTGAACCGAATCGCGAGCGCGACATAGATCATATGATGCAATTCTGGGAGTGGGGGGGCGGGCCCTCGTCTCCGACGTCGTCGGGGGGAAGGGGGTCTGGTACACATGGCGAGTAGCTACACACACTGCCGAGCGGAAGCGGGAGGGGTGGGGCTCGTATGGGGGGGGGAGGAGGAGAGGAGTATGGAGGACCAGACGGAGTGGATGGGGAAGGGGGGATCGAGGAAATGGGGAACAGAGGAACGGAACATGAGAGAGAGGAGGAGAAGGAGGAGGAGGAGGAGGAAGATGAGGATGAGGAGGAGGAGAAGGAGGAGGAGGAGGAAGAGAAGGGGGAGGAGGAGGGGGAGGAGGAAGAGGGAGGGAGGAGGGAAGGCAGGCGGGAGAAGAAGACTGTCCCGCTGCCGCGAATGGAGTGCCGCGAGCTGTGCGGGTCGGGAGCTGTGCGGGTCGGTCGGCCGCGAAGGCGGACTCGCTTCGCACAATGTGTCTGTGGAGGCTGTGGGGGAAGTGTTGGACGCCCGAAATGGGCACGGAAAGAATGGGTACAATGCCCAACAACAAATGCTGTCCCAAATTGACAGCGGCCGCTGTTGGGAAGGCGGCCTTCTGTCGCGAATGGACACAGGCCGCGGCGGTGCGGACAGCGAGTCCTGTTCAAAATGAGCAGGAACTGCTGTTGGGCATGGTGCCCATTCTTTCCGTACCCATTTCGGGTTTCCAGAGAAGTGGACGGAAAAAGAATGCACGTAACTGCGGTGTGGAAGAACAGCTAGGTACCCAGAGAGAACGAGGAGAGAATGACAAACGAGTTGCACAACACTCCCCTTGCTCGATTTCCCCCCGTTCCACTCGGAATTGAAGTATGTGGACAAGCTCCCCGCGATATTGTCTTTTCACCACGACCGAACTCAACGAACTGCTCGGGTCGGGGTCGCTGGGCGCCCGGATCTCAACCCAGCCTGCCCTGAGGCGGACTCGCGTGTCGCACAATCTGTCCCTATCGAGGCGATCGCGAGGCGCGCGCCCATCGAAACGCGAGCCCGCTCCCGCCCAGGAGGAAGGACAAAGAGACAAGGAAAGAAAGACGGCAACATATTGTTGGAACCAGCGGCTTCTACTCTGAATCACAATGGCCAATGACAGCCCTGGAGACGGCTGCGTCCCCCAAGTGGTCGAAACGGGGATACATGATTAGCGCGGCGCTTCTTCAGTCTCCAGTAGCTAACCGCGTGGCAAGTGCGTCGCCTGTATCGGCGATGCCCCAAGCCATGCCCCCGCGGAAAACATGGGCCCTCACGGCGGCGCTGCCCCGTTTCCGCGGCGTGCCCTCGGATGCGCCGGAAAACTTTGCCCGCGCATTTGTAACAAAGTGATGCCGACTAGCAGCGCGCGCAGCGCGCAAGACCTCCTTCATTGAATCATAAACGCATCATTTGGCGCCTGCTGGCACGAAGCAGCATTTCTTCCTGAGAACAGTCCGGTCTCGTGTGTCCCTACAGCGGCCGAACGTGGTCTCAATCGCGCCTGCCTTGCAAGACGCGCTGGAATGGTCCCCGTCAATCTGCAACGGCGGCGCCTCCAATGGCACACGCAAGTAAAACAAACTGCCAATTGGACTGGTTGTGGCCTGCTCCACATCGTTGTCGTGCCCTGCCAATCGGATCACTTGCCCAGCGCGCTGCGTTTACCAGGCAAGGCGCGGACGGGGCGCAAGCGCCGCCTTGCGGGTGCCACGCAGCACGTGTTGCAGCGTTTCTGTGTCCCGTGTGTTGGGCAGGTGGACGAACGCGTGGTCCACCTCAGTTTTTTGATGTAATTCGTACGCGTATCCAAGTTCGCATGCATTCCAGCGTCGCCCAGCACGGCGCGCTCTGTGACAAAACAGTGGCACGATATTTTGGAAGCCGTGCAATCTGCTGCCCAATATATGATCCTTGCCATGCATCTTGGAATGGTTGCTCGGAACGCCTCAGTCATCAATATCCAGGCGTGCTCCGTCAGCATGCCCAAAGCTGGTCCTGTCTGCGCCGCCTCCAATATTTTGATCTGTTTCCTCGGCACACTCGTGCAGGCAAGCGCGCCAAGACCAATTTGTTGCACGCAGCGTGCGTGAAATTCCCAATGAAGTGCGGCAGCAAGCTTCGCCTCACTGGAGTACTCCTCAAGGCACTGTGCGATTAACCATCCAGTTCTCTGTCCAGTGGAAAAGCACATGGATTCCACGATCCAACAATCGCAGGCGTTCGCGCCCGCAGGCGGGATATCAGAGGCCCTCGTGGGCCGCGGCTTGGGCGCGGTCATCTCGCAGGTGTCCGCGCCCGCGGGCGGGACATCAACAACCCTCGTGGGCCACGGCGTGGACGCGGCCACCTCGCCCACGCCAGCGCCGGCTCCCGCGCGGGCCAGGAGCGCTGGCACGAAAGCAACATGCCACGGCCGGCCGTGGCAGGCGGGGGCTGGCCCGCAGCATGACTGGCATGAACGGTCTCGTGCTTGCCCGCTTGGGCCGACGGAGCAACCAGTCCCCTCCTGGAGTGGCAAGACGAGGAGGACGACGCGGGGAGATGGGAAGGAGGACCCGACGACGACCTGTCGACAAGAGTGGATGGTAGACAAAGCCCTGCTCGTGCAGTAATACCTTGTTTTCGACTCGTGGCGAGGACCTCCAGCTCGGGCGGTGCGAATGGCCCTTATGCACGTCGAACAAAACCCGATCAATACCTCACATCCGCTCACATGGGCCAACGAAGCAAGGAATATCTCCCGTCTTCGACGCAGCAACGGGGAGAAGGGGGAGAAGGAGGAGGAAGACGATTAAAAGAGAGAGGAAAAACAATGCACGTACACGTGATGTGGAAGAAGAACTAGATACCTGAGGGGACAAGAGGAAGAAGTAAGTGGAGAGCACGACAATCCCCTTGCCCGCTTGTCCCCCCATTCCAATCAAATTCAATGCTGTGGAACGCTTTCAAAGATCGGAGCCCCCTCTGAGCCGGACGCTGTGCCAGGCTTGATCCTCGACTGTATCTGAATGCGTACACACATGCATGACGGCAGACAAACGAACATATGGACACATGCGACAACTGCCTACCTGTCTCACAACTGGTCATGCGTACGAGAACATGCACTGTCGCAGGTACACCTACGGTTGCTTTTGGCCTCGTAAACGGTGCCACCCATTGCCAAGCGAACGTCATACCAAAACTTCTGGCACGGCCGGGGCGGCACGATACGTGTTTAAACATTCGCCGCGTCGACAGCGAGACTGCTCTGCGGGCTTACTTCTTCTTACCGCCAGCACCGCCCTCCTCCTTGCGCTCGCATGAGATAACCTTGCCAAGCATAACCACGCCGTTGCCATCCATGAAGGCAACGCGCGACAGTCCTTCGCAATTCTTGAAGGTGTCGCACACGAGCGGCTGCTGGGGCTGGAAGCTGCACTGGGCCATCTCGTTGGACTTGAGGGAATGAGGGTCCTCCATCTTCTTGCCGCCGGTCTCCTTGCCCATCTTCCACTTCAGCTTGCTGATGCGGCAAGCCGCGCGCCCGCAACGCACGAAGCCGATCGGGGAGTAGCCGACCTTGATCTCGTTGGGGATGTCGAGCACCTGGATCTGCGCGTCGAACTCCTTCGTCTGACCTAAGGTAGTGTCCTTCTTGTAGACCATCACGTCGCCCGAGCGGGGCATGTTGTTCTTGTCGAGGCCTTTGATGTTAAGGCCAACGTTGTCACCTGGGTTGGCGAAGTCGACGCGCTGGTGGTGCATCTCCACGGTGAACACCTTGCCAGTGCACGGGTTCGAGGCAGTGTGCGTGGGCAAGAACACCACCTCCTCGCCCGGCTTGACCACGCCCTGCTCCACGCGCCCAGCGAGCACATCACCGACACCCTTGATCTTGTAGATGCCAGAGATCGGCATGCGCATTGGCGCGCTTGTGGGCCTCTCTGGTACGCGGCACATCACGTCAAGAACATCGTATCCGCTGGCCCCTTGAGGTGCAAGGCCGTGAACTGTTGCTGGACTCCTTTACTGTTCTCTTTGTTCTGTCTTCTATCCATTGTCTAGTCAGCCATGCCTCATTCCTACTGTCTACCCAGGGGGAGGGGGGGGCGACCCATAGCAACAAATGCCTTCGGGGGGTCCTTCAGTCTCCAGGCCGCTCTAGGCTGCTGCAGGATTCGTGTAGGGACGCCAGCTGGAGCAGGAGCAAGAGGTCCAGCGTGCGGACAACCGTGCCTAGGGGAGGCTGCCAGGAGCTGGAAATACATTGCGTCGGTAAGTCTTCGAGAAACTTGCGCGTGCGTGCGTCAGTCGGTGCATCCTTTGCGCGGCCGTCCTCGCGATCGCGCGCCAAGCGGCTGCCAGTGCAGTAAAATCTGACTTGGCCACCTTCCGAATACTCGATTTGGGCTCGAGGCGAAGCCTTGCGGCTCCCTTACAGATCGAACCGACCGAGGCCCAGATGGAAGCGCCAAGGAGCCCGGAGGGGTTCGGGGTCGAGGACGGGGATGAGGACTTCGAGGAAGAGGGGGAGGAGGAGGAGCGGGAGGAGGAGGAGGGGGAGGGGGAGGGGGAGGAGAAGGAGGAGGAGGAGGAGGAGGAGGAGAAGGAGGATGGGGAGGAGGAAGAGGAGGAGGATAAGCACCCACACGTTCGCATGCCGTTTCCGCTCTGCGCTCTGCGCTTGGCCCACACCACTCATTCCACCCGCGGCTCAAATTCGTTTCGCTGGGCACGATCTGTCGGCTCTCATTCGCTGGGCATTTGCTGGGCATTTTCGCTGGGCATTTTCGCTTTGCATTTTCGCTGGGCATTTGCTGGGCGATTTCGCTGGTTCAAATGCATTTTGGCTGGGCATTTTCGCTGGGCATTTGCAGCCGCTTCTCCCCAACTGCAGTCGTAGCCCAGCAGCCGCTCCACCACAGCAGTGTAGCCATGACCACTGCGTCGAACACCCCCAGCCGCATGGCAGGGACGCTACCGAGCAACCATGGTGTATGCAAGATGGCCTAAGAGAATCTCGAGACGCCTCGGAAGGGGGGAAACATACTGAAAGAATGTTCAACGTAGATTACCCAGCCCCCATGTTGCTTCCAAGATCGCTAAAAAATGGGTGACGGAGACCTGGACATTGCTCAAGACGGCCCCCAAGGTGGCCCCAGAAGGCCCAAGATGCTGCCACACCTGCCCAGGATGACCCCACAGGGCCCCTGGATGGCTCCAAGGTAAGAGACATAGGCCCCAAGATAGCCCAACTATACCCCAAGGTGGCTCGAAGGTGGCCCCAGACTCCCCAAGATGTCCCCGATAAACGCGAATATTGCCCGAAAGCTGCTCCAACATAGCCCAGGAGTCGGGCGGCACAGATGGGGTATCCCTTCAGATACGGTGTCCACGTGGATGGTCTCCTTGCCGTACTCGACATCGCAGCCCTTCCACCACCCCATGTTGTCGGACTTCTTCAGCAGGTTGTCACCCATCCAGCCGGAGATGGGCATCACTGGCGTTCCCTTCTCGACGAAGTCCTTCTTCCATCCGACCTTGACCAACATGCTCTTCATCTCGTTGGCGATCTCATCGTAGCGGGACTGCTTGTACCCAGCAGTGTCGCAGTCCATCTTATTGACGCCAATACAGATCTGCTTTACGCCCAACAAGTTGATCAAGCGGGAATGCTGGCGTGTCTGCCCCTGGATCTCGCCAGCCTTATTTGAACGAGAAACTGAAACACATATCATTGCAGTATGGGTGTGGAAGTATGGGAGGGGGCATCACTGGAGAATGGTGCAGGTGTGTGCGATGCACTACGCCCAGAGGTGCCAAACCAAAAAATCGTGGACACGCTGGACAAGGACATCGCCATGTATGCTTATATGTTCTAGCGTTTTCTTTGTTAGGTGCGTGCGACTAGAAGCAAGCCGCAAGCCTGAATGAGTAAAATTGCAGGTGGGCGCGTTCACACGAAATTATGTGAATGTCGAATTTGAGTCAACAGTCAAATATGAATCCCACCAGCCCTCTGGGCGTCGGTGGTTTAACGAATTTCCTCTTCCACCCCTCCCTCTTCCCCTTCGGGGAGGGGTTCACCCCTCCCCCTACCCCCTCCCCACTGACCTGGACAGGGGGGGCCGCGGGTAGTTAGAGCGTCCAAGAACGACCCCTGGGAAGGCTAAAATTCGACACCCCTCACGAGGTTCGTGGCTCCTGGGGGGGGCTGAAATTTAGGAACCCCTCTTTTTTGATCGATTTCCTCCACGATGGCCGCAAGAGGCCCCCAGGATACCCCAAGAGGCCGCAGGATGGCCCCAAGCTGGCCCCAAGAGGCCCCCCAAAAAAAACCCCAGAGGCACCCAAGGTGCTCCCAGAGGCCCCAAGATGGCCCCAAGAGGCCCCAAGATGCCCCCAGGAGGCCCCAAACAGGATTCCGAACGGCCCACAGAGGCCCCCCCGAGGCACCCAAGACGCCGAAAAGCCCCTCAGGACGACCCTCTACTCGCCTGGGCGTCGTTTCTGGACGGGCTGGTGGGTATATGTTTTTACAGCCGCAGGCGGAAGCGCCAGCGGCGGGCGGTCGCGGGCGGGCTGCGGCCGCGACTAGCGGCGGGCGCGCGCGAGGCCGCGGTCAGGCGGCACGCAGCAGCGTCCCAGGGCGTCAGAGCCAGCGTGCAATCCAGGGAGTCTGCAGAACAGCCCCTGAACGAGACATGCAACGGCGCATCCAGGGAGTCTGAAGACAGGCACCGAGGAAACCGAGCGCAGCCAAAATGGCGCGAAAGGCGTTCCCAGCAGTTCGGATACGAACAAGTAGAAACGGCCCCGAGGACGTCGATCCAGGGAGTCTGACAGGCAACACAGACTGACTGGAGACACCAGTCCAGCGGAAGAGCCTGACGGCGGATCAAAGTCGCGACGCCAGAACACGCATCCAGGGTGTGGAAACGTGTAGGCAGGAGAACCTTCCACAACTGAGATGCGTCAGTCCAGATCCAGCGAGTGGAAGGGCGCCGTAGTGTGCACGATACACGGTAGACCACGTGCCGGGTGCACATCCAAAGTGTCTCAGCGCTACCCAAAAACGAGTCGGATAGCACCCGAGGGACGAGACCGTCGTATACCCAAGACGCGTCCCTCAGAAACACTTCGATCCAGGGTCACGGCGGAAGGCCGTTCAATGGTTAAGAAATCCAGGGAGTGGGCCTGTGGACAGGCAAGCCAGAGTCCACAGACACGGGCCAGGACACGCCTGGCGGTGAAAGCCCTACAGTAGGGCCAGAGGCCGCGAGTCCAACAGCGGAGGGGCTGTGGACGGCATTACCGAAGCGCGCACCTGAATCCAAAGGCAGGAGGTGCGCACATCGGGAGGAGGGCGGCAGAGCGCCGCAATTGAAGGGGCCCGCGGCGCGGCCCAAGGCAGCGCCAGAGAGAATTTCAGGATGTGAAACGCAGCCGGAGAGGACCAAGAGAGCCTTGCGGCGAGAGTGCAGCGGCCACCGGTAGAGTAAGGCAGCGGGGCCAGTGGCCAGTTGGTCTGCTGGATGCGCGCTGTCACGCAGAGTGCAGATGGTATGACTGAGCGGCACACCAAGGTCCAAAGGTAGGAGGAGTGCCGCCCAGGGGAGGGGGCAGCGGCGCTGCCCCACGGTTGGAGAAAGAAAGCGGCGGAGGGCCGCAAACAGTGTGCAATAAGGCGTCGGTGGTGGCGCAAGGCACTGGGGGCGGGGAGAGAGCGGGGAGTGAGCTCAGACTCTCCAACGGAGCCTCTTTTCATCTCTATCGTCCCGATCGTCGGAGCAACCTCCGCCGCGTTTGCCACCCGTCTGCCAGCGATCTTCACGCCATCCATCACTCCACTCGCCCTGCCAGCTGCCCCAGGTGTCCCAGGAGCTCGTCGCGCGGTCGCGCCAGCCGGTCTGGTGGTAGCTGCCTTTGCCCCTGTCGTCTGTACGGGAGTGACGCAGGTAGTTGGCTCGTAGCCTATCCCAGTCAATACCATAGCCCAGCCTCGTGTTCATCTGGTAGGCGTCATACCCACAGTCCTTCCAGGCATCAAGAAACCGGTTGATGTCCGTGGCCGCGTGCAGTTTCGGGTCGGATCTGGGCGCCCTGGATCCAGGGAGCCAAGTTCGCTGCGTGTTTGCTGTCCACAGCGCGCAGAAGACTGCGCCCAACTCCGACTGAAGCCTGGCTATGCGTCTGGCTGGAGTCTCGTTGGGACGTTCGAGGTCAACTGTGCCCAGCCAGACTTTGTACATGGGGCCGCCCCCTTCTGGACAGGTCAACCGGTTGAGTGCATCCTGCTCCGATGTACCAGTATGGCGAGGGTGATAGCGCCTCTGTCCAGGGAGCTGCGGGGCGGGCGCGGGAGAGCGCTCGGACCGCGAGCCACCTCGGTCGCGGGCTCTCTCGTCCCTCGCGGGATCCCGGGCTGTATCGCTACTGCGGTCGGCGTAGGGCGCTTCCTCCCCGGCTGAGGTCGCGGCATCCTCGCGGCTGGAGTCAGAGCTGTCCGCCGATGGGCTTTGCTGAGGCGCCTCGTCGCCTGAGCGATTATCATCGTCGTCCTGGGCCGACTCTGAGCAAGTAAGAGGACGAGGGGGTTCGTCTTCTCCGAAGTCGGGAGACTCCACCTTTGTAGGGGGATCCCGTCTTCCGCGCTCTCGTCGTTGCCGTTGTGGTCGGGCGGGTCCTGGTGGCCCATACGCGAGTCGTTGCCCATCGTGCCCTGGGACTTGTCTGTGTCGGCAGCCATGGGAGTGTCTGGTCTGTCGTCGCTCATGGCCAAAACGCCTGTTGGGGGGGACTCGGCCAAGGAGGTGATGGATGCAGAGGCGAGGGCATCGGCACCGAGGCTGAGCAGGAAGCCCGTCAGCGTGCTGATCTCATGTCGGATGGGATCGAGGCCATTTGCCGGGGCCAGCGCGGCCGCATAAATCCCCCAGGGCTCCTTATGTCTCTCGCCGTTGGCCAGGTGTGCTATGACTCGCGCCGCGGCCACGCGCTTACCTTCCCAGCGCTGGTTGGGAGGGAGACAGCCGTCTGGGATGTAGTCACCATATATGGTCCTAAGGAACTCTGACAGGAACTCGTCAGGCAAGGAGGCCTCGTCGCAGCTGGGCTCCGGGGCGCTTCTGTCGCGGTTGGCGATGCAAAACTGCCTCCAGGTGTATTCCAGTCCAGGATGGAAATCGCGGAGGAATGTTACCAGCGATCGCCGTGCGGACAGTCCACCGGGGCCAGGTCTGTTGGGGCCCTCAGCGCTTAGGGTGGGGTTATTGACGCTCCTGTCGCTCAGGAGCGGGCCCTGCGGTGCTGGCAGGTCTGGCAGGAGCTCCAAAAGCTGGGTGAGGGCCCTGGGGGGGTGGCTCTGACGTTGCACCAGTACTGCCCGCGGCGCTGGGTCCAGGGGGATTGCTTGCTCCGACCTTGGTGAATTGGCCCTGGGCCTTGGCGCCCACGCCTAGCCAAGGGAGAGAATCAGAAATGTCCACAGGCACCTCGAATCCAATCTGGCTGCTGAGCGGGGGAAGGACTGGAGGCTTTTCTGGATACAGCGATCGGAAGTCTCGATCCAGGATGCGATCCAGGGTGGCCGGGCCTATGCTCCAAATCGGGACCAGGCAGCGTCGGCAGCACCATGTAGCGTTCCATTGGCGCCCCCACCAGGCCAGGGCACGCTTGTCGATGGGGGGCAGCCCAACTTGCTCGGGAACGCCTATACCTTCCGCCGGCTTCCATATGAAACATCCCAGGGGCGGGGGGCCAGGGTCCCAGACGAGGAGCGGGGCCCCCTGGGGGCAGGTGTCGCACCGCGCAGAGTAGGTCTGCGTCTGCGCGGCTTTGAGGCCGAAGCGCTCGTCCCGGATCCGCAGGATGGGAATGGTGGCATTGGCTCGCCCGGGGATCTTCATGCCCGTCGGCGCCATGAGGAGGTCCGCTAACGTCCTCGTGTCCGCCAGGGGGCTGCATCCAAAGCCGAGCGGAAGGTGCCCCAGGGAAGGGAGGGCGCTCGCTCTGTCATTGCTGGCCCCCGTCCTCTGCTGCTCATGCTCCTTGACTCTGTCGGCGAGCTTCGCTCCTGCAGGCGCAGGGAGGCCCTGCTCCTCCAGGTGCCTTAACCAGCAGACGTCGCAGTGCCACCCCATGTTGGCGCCGTTGATGTAGGCCTGGGGCCTATTCTGAGCGACCATCTGGCGCGTGGTGTCGGAGATCCAGGTGCCCTCGGCGGAACTCGGCTGGTCCTTTCCGCACCTGTCGCACGTGCATCTGCCGTTCTTCTTCTCGAGCGCGAGCCTCTCGTCGGGGATGAAATGGGGGGTCCAGTCTGGTGCCTGGGGCGGGGGTCGGTGGTGGGGGGGCATTGAGGTCGGTCTTGGACAGGGCAAGTCCGCCGCCGATGCAGGAAAGACCCGCAACCCGGTCGTCAGGACCCGGGGGGGCGTCGGTCCCCGCCAGCGCGACGTGTAGCGCACACACTGAGCAGCCGCGTGTATCCAGGGAGGTCAGAGTTGCTGCCGGGACAATCTGTTCGAGGGCAAGCATCGGCGCTTTTAGCTGGAAGTCTTGCCTGTCCATCTCGCTCCAGGTCTGCGGGCAGCCGGCTTCCCGCGCAGCCGGGTGGTGATGCGCCAACGCCACGAGCTTGGAGATGTGGGGGAGAACCGCCTCGATGCGGCCGTGCAGGTCTGCCAGGTCGTCCAGTGTGAGG